GGGTGCCTTCGAGAGTGCCCTCTCCCGCTGCGCGCAAACGGGGCGCGTAGAGAGAAGCGAGAGGACGGGACCTCCCCGCCTGGGCCTCGCCGTGCGGAGGGAGGGAGGGGAGGAGCCGCCCGCAGAGGCCCCAGCGGCGCGGGCGCCAGCTGAGGGGTTGGCCCGGGCCCGCGGGAAGGTGCGCGGCGCCGCGGGGCTCTGGAGGGCTGAGGCCGCTGCTGTAAGGAAGCGTGCTCGGTAGAAGCGATCCTCCCCGAGAGGCACAGCCCGGCGGAGTCTTAGAGGGAGGCAAAAAGGAAGCGCGTGAGGCGTGCATGCTGGGGGACAGCGAGAACCTCAGCCCCTTGCCTGTTGGGGCTGTCAGGCAGTACTTGGATGTACAAGGCCCTCCTGGTGTTGGCCTCACTCCAGAAGCTGTGTCTCTCCTGGCTACTGATGGCCCATCCCGTGGTGTATGTAATGTTTTTTAAGCCAGCAGAGCCCTTTCTCCTCTTCCTTTCCTACAGCTGGTATCTGCTTTGCACAATCTCACCAGGCATGTCGTGTACCATGGCTTGACGAGGGCAGAAGATATCCTCTCCCTATTTCCAGAAGACTTCCATCAAAATCTGAAAAACCTTTTGACTAAGATAATCTTGGAGAATATGTGAGTGCTACCCACCTGCCATTACCTTTCAGCTGGAAAGTTAAAGCCTGTGTATCTGGTTTGATATGTGGATAGTTGGCAGCATGCAAAGTCTTTTTTTCTATTAATTTTGTGCGTGCCTTGGGCATAATCACACAGGTTGGGATGAGCAGAGTTGAAAGAAGTATGTCATCTGAGTGGACTGGCAAACAAAACACAGCAATGGGCACAGAGGGTTTTCCCAAGACTTTTGGAATGACCATAGGCCTCATTCACATAATGCAAAGCCCCCTTTATTTTAACAACTCACCTCTGTGGTGGAAAAATGCTATAGATGATGATAAAATGAAGAGGGCTAGATTTCAGCGCTACAAAATCTGATTGGGTAGCACCTAGATGCCATCCACTTACCTACCTTGGCTTAGGTGCGGAGGCACTGCATGCGGTAGACCATATGTGAGGTGGTGTCAGAGGATAGCATTTCTGCATGCTTGTACATCTCACTGCTTGGTAGCCCATTGCTTTGATAAAACGGGGGAGAAGGGTACATGCCATAAGTGAGTCACACTTACAGAAGAAACAGTAGCTGGTCATCACTTTGCCTAACGTTGCCCACCAGTGACAGCCTTTCCTCGGCACTCAGTGGCATAGGTATTCTCTTTTCCCTACTCACTGCTGCAGCCCTGGTGACCCTTATGTCAGGGATAAGCCTCTCTGAATGCTTTCCCTAGGTATTCTCTTTTCCCTACTCACTGCTGCAGCCCTGGTGACCCTTATGTCAGGGATAAGCCTCTCTGAATGCTCTCCCTACCTTTTTTCTTTTTTTCTTTTCAAAACACTGCTGATACATTTTTTTTTTTTCTCTTCTCCACTTTTTCACAGCTCTGCTTGGAGGAATGAAGCACAAGCAAGTCAGAGTAAGTAGTAGTTCACATCTTGATGCAATTAATGGTTCCTGAGGTCATTGGAGCTTAGAATACATGTTTTTGTAATGTAGCACAGGGATACCCCCATTTGCCTTAGATGAAGCTGTATCATTGTGGCATCACAGAATTTATCAGAGGCCCACGAGCTTGTATTCAGGTTGGTGCTGTTGTGCTAAATTGTTTCCAGTCCTCAAGCAATTCCATGTAATGCTCAGTCTGTTGCTACCTTGCAGAGTGCAGTGTATCACAAGTGTTTGCAAAACTTTTGAAAGGGAAGTGTTCTCACCTCCCCATTCAAGTCATTCAGTGATGTCCATATTCAATAACTTTGTACTGTAAAGGATATGTATATGTTGGGGAATACCTTATCTTTGCACATCTAGTCAATGCTGTGCATTCTTTCTCTTCCACGCATCAGAAAGTACACTGCATGTATTCATAACTCTGCTTTTCCTCACCTTTCTAAACAGTGATGTAATTAAGGAATACAAACTTTAACAATAGCATCGTCGGCAGTGAGTTACATCCCAGTTAGGTGTTCCATGCAGCTACAACACTTTGTTTTCCCCCCAAGAGATTGGCTTACAAATGGGAGCTGATACATAACAGAGTATTTTGAGGTATGCTAGGATCCTCTTTACCGTCTTCTTTGCCTGCAGAGGAGATAATGTCCAACAGCTAAACAATATGGCAAGACCTGGAAATACACAGCCCCTCAAAGTTTTAATAGGGAGAGGGGAAAAAAACTATTGTGTAATGCTAATACAGTAAATACAGCAGTTGCTTACACTAAACAATGTTCTAGTGTTACCAAGACACATAATGCTTTTTCCTTCTTAACACTATCATATGCTAGCTAGGTCTTCACAACCCGGACGTGAGGCTGGGTGTGTAGCTCTTGGAGCACCACCCAGGAGCTCTGCTCTGACACTTATGTCTTTGTATTCATGAATATTTAACCCTGTTGGAATGAGATTGTTTTCTAGGAAATGATGGATTATTTTAGTATCGTATTCATGAAATATCTGAAATATATTACATAGGAACCAAGGCAGTGACTGAAAGAACAGACATTCCAACTGATTGATCTCTATTAACATAAAAGCATTTCCTGCACCTCCCAAGCCACCAGCAATCAGTCTTCACAAATTAACATACAAGGCTAAACAGATACATTTTATGCTGTTGCAAATGCTGCCAAGTGCTGGCCCTGGCAGACTGTGAACTGGAATTTGTTCCAAAAGCAAGAGCAAGGCAGCCAGTTCTGCACTGCCCCCTGGAGCTCTGCTCAGGGGAGCAAGAGGAGAAGGGTAGAGCCTTTCCCTAGACAGAACGGTATTTCTGTAAGCACTCTTAGGAAGTAACTTGAGCATCTGGAGTCAGTAGGAAGGCTAGCTATCAACCCTTGGGGAGCAAACTGGGCATCTTATGGTAGGCAGAATCCAGACAGGCTGCAATTGCCTATTGAGACAGTTCTTTCCTAAGCACTCAACAGAGGTTTAGTCTTTGCCTCTTCATCCTCCTCTGGTGCTTTTAGATGGATGTCAAATAACTGCTGACAACCAGGTTTGATAAGGCTTCGCAAAGACGCTCAAACCTACCAAGCACCATAGGTGAGATTTTATTTTGAGTTTGAGAATAAACGATCATCTCCCTACAGATCTTTTATGGGGTTGGTCCTATGTTTCATTCAGACTTCTTTGAAAATCCCTAGCTGATGTAAACGGGAACAGTGTTTCTTCAGGCACCCTGTAGCCCTTTATTCTGACATTTACAGCAGTACAGAGCTAAGCTGCAAATGCCCTTTTCAAACCTAAAGGGCTTGTCTTTGTTTCCATGTCCTTAGTGTGGACTTCCTTCTAGTGAGAATTTACTCATTTTCCCAGGAAACTGGATGCTGCACTTTCAAACATAGGAAGTATAGTTCAGCTCTTGTCTGAAAATGGAGTAGAACAAGGCGCAAGAGGTGTTCCGAGTCTCGTAAATGGGACAGTACCAAAGTGTGAATGACTTTAAGTATGCTCTGTTAAACTGCACCTTACAACTGGTTTTCTTTATGTATATTTTAAACAAGGAATTTACCTTACAGACATTTTCCAAATTTCTGGATTTTGGTGGTAAGTTGCACTTTACCACTGGAGAGTCAAGGGTTCAAGCCTCATCTTTTAACACTTGCTGTTGTTGTCTGATTAGATAAGTAATTATGCTTTCCTCCGGTTTGCAGTTTGTGTGAGAGAACACTTGTAAATCTGAGATGAAAATGTCAATACTGTTTCTTTTTCTGGGTTAAAATGTGGATTTTTTTTAATGAAAGTAGGAAACTTTTTGTTCAAACAAGGGGGAAAAGATACCTGCTTGCCACCCATCTAAATACCTGCCTCAGTTTCATTTGAATATGTTCTTCAAACATTCCTTGTATTTATTGCTTGCAGCTGAAAGACACTGTTGAAAAACATTATGCTCCCAGGAACTGACAAAAAGCACTTGCAGCCAGCCTGTTGGTGCCAGAGTTTTGTTGGGAGAACCTTAATCTCATTTTTTATGCAAATTTGCATGGTGCTTAGGGACTCTTGAGGGTTCGTAGTACAGTGAGCTCCATTAAGTACACGCTATCATGAGAGAATATCCCCATCTCCTCTCTGCAGGAGATAGCTGCACAAATTTCTTGAAAGGGCAGCCAAGTCAGACCTGTCCTCCTTCCCTTGGAAGGCTCATGGGGTCTCCAGCCCTGAACTGTTGATATCAAGTATTGCAGCAGACTTGTTGCATGATTTCTGTTAGGCTACATCTAACTAGAATGAGATCTTCAATATTTTTGACAAGTTGGGAGGACATGTGAAGATTGCAGTTTACCAATACATATGCTATGCTGCAGGATGCTTTGGTTCACGGGTTGGGGAGCTTGAAATAACATATTTTATACTGCTGGATTTTGAGAGCATTCCTGTGTGCTTTCTTATTGGTTACAGAACAGAGCAATAAGGATGTAGGTCCCAGAGCAACTCATGGTGAAACACTACTTGAGTGTTGCAGGCAGCAAGGCAGAGGGTGAAGAGATGGAGAAGACAACTTACTGCTCCCCTTCTCCCAGCTGCTTTGTGAATTTACCTCTCCTTATCTTGCACTGTACCATCCTTGCATGTGATGATAAGAGAACCCTGCTTGTCCTTCCGGTGCCTTCAGAGACTGGCTTACTGCAGAGTGAAAATTATGCAAAACCATGTAGTAGCACTAAAGTTGTACACTTCCCAGGGCCAGAAGTAGAGAAGTACGTACATGTTGGAGGTCACAGTTTCCAGGGTCCGGTATTATCATGTGCTGCCGGGCCTAACAGACCCATTTTTTAATCCCTCAGTCTCCCTGCCTCGGCTGGTCGACATGGACTGGAGGGTGGACATCAAGACATCTTCAGACAGCATCAGCAGAATGGCAGTCCCTACTTGCTTGCTTCAGTTAAAGGTAATGTCAGTGGTTGTAAAGGATACAGGATCAGAATAATCAAGTCCAACACCTGACTGACCAGTGGTAGTCTGAACTGTTGTTCAGACAGGCATCTGGTGCTTGCTTGCTAGGCAATTAACAGACTTTCTCAGAAATGATCTTTGAAATAGCACACAGCCTGGGAATGATATCTCTGATGAAAGCCCTCTTTTTCTTGCAAGGGAGAGCTTTCTTTGCATAAGGATGGAAGAAGGCAGCATATTTGTTCCTGGTCACCATTGTTTTCTACAGAAAGAAAGAGGATAAATTATTAAGTCATTGCCCTTTAATTCTATGTCAGTCATCAGCATGTTTAGCTGACTGCATTAGATGGGAAAAGACTTTTGATTACTAATAACTTCCTTTGCTGGCCACATCTATCATTTGGGGAGTATAGCTAAACTTACTGCTTATATTCGACAGAGTTCTGGATCCTGCCAACCAGTAAAAATGGCGTGGGTGGATTTCAGAGGAGAAAGGAAAAAAAATCTGATTTCTGTGTGTGGGATGGGGTTACATCTCCTGTGGTATCTGCTAAGATGCTTTTGATGGGTGTGGCTTCCTGCCATGAGTCTCTTCAGAATTTTCCCATATTCATGGCAGTGTATGCTTACTTGCACTCTCGCAATGGCAGCACACTTCACTAGTGAGGCACACAGCTTAGAAAATGTGCCATGGTCCTTCAGGATGGAGCTAGATGCCAAACCTAAAGCATTTGTCTTAATCTGTCTATTAATCACTGATTTTGTAGCGGCACTGGAAAAACACATGAATGAATTTTTCATACAGCTAATGTCTGCATTCCTATTTTCAGATTCAGGAAGATGTTGCTTTATGTGGAAATAGTCCTGTTGTTTCTGCAGTGACTGTGGAACTGAGCAAAGAAACACTGGACACTATGTTAGAAGGTCTAGGAAGGATCCGGGACCAACTTTCTGCTGTTGCAAACAAATGAATACTCAAGGGCATGGATTCAAGCAGCAAGGAAGGGAAGTATTCTCTACCTACAGCTCTCATAAGTTGCAGCCTAGAGTAACATGTTTTCTGTTTTAACAAAACAAAATTAAAGAGATTTCTTTACTGAGTTAATAAGATAGCTTTTGAAAAGCTAACACTTAAACATCCCTTTGGTCTGATGCCAAAAAATGTTCTCCTAATATGTTGTTGAACAAAAGCTGGTGTCTATTTCAGAAAAGGATTTGAAGGCTCAGAGTTTGGCTTAATCACAAGGGTCATAACTGGGAATAGCAAATAGCTGCAGCCAATGAAGCAAGTGCTATCCCTCTGCCCTGAAATTAGGATCTAAAAGATTTAAGCTGTTTAATGGGCTGCCTTCCAGCATTAGCAGACAAGGAGGTGCTCCTCTCTGGAATGTGCCTGTATGTGCATGCTGGATGTAGCACTCTCTCCCTCTCAATGAAGCACAGCCATTCTGCAGATTGTTATTACAGGATAATGCTTTGAAATAGGGCAATTATGCTACAACACATTCCCTTTTGATGATCTTCATAGCACCATTTACAAAATGACTAGTCTTAACATCTTTAGCAGCAAGTAATTTCTTCTGTTTCAAAAGAAAAAAAGGAGTTCAGATAATTCATGTTTGGGTTTATTGGACTCTGGGCTTTGCCTACGCTGCACGAAAACCAGACTGGGAAAGTAAAGAATCAATGGCCCTTGTCTGTACTCTAGGAAACTGTTCTGTAGCAGTATGTGCCTCTACTTCCCCAAAGTGTTCTGCTGTTTATTTGTATATATCCTCATTTAATTAAAAAATGAACTGCTAATTGATTTTGTGAATCTTTTTCAGTTTAGAAGAGAAGCTGTCTTGGGTTACGTCAGCCTCTTTGTGATGGGATCTAGTTTTTAGGCTGGTTTAATGGTTGTTCATGTTCGTTGCTGAAGAGGGATATTTTGTTTCCTGTTCAAATGGATTCATCTTTTAAACTGTCTTCTCTTCGTTATAATACAGTTTCATGGCACCTTTTTCCATGGGCACCAACTCTGTCCAGTATTACAGGTGATGACCCTGACCTAAAACTTTATAAATATATGTACGTTGAAAGTGTGGAGGAGTAAGTGCAGAAAATGAACAAAATTCAGAGCCTTCTTTCTGGTGAGCTTCTATAATGCTCCAAACTGGAAGACTGGATCCAAATACTTTGTTTATGGCAAAGCAGCACCTTTCATAAAATGTTTGTCTCTCCCTCAAGATACAAAACACTGTCTCTTGCATTTGGAAACATGAAATCTTTCAAGAAGACTGCATAAACTACAAAGATTTGTTAATTAATTTTATGCATCCTCACAGAGTGCAGGCTATAGTGTAAGTGTAAATGAAGCCTGTGTCTTTAAAAGATATTGGTGTAATACAGCTTATGCATCAAGATGAGATGTATGACAAGTCACTTGTTAAGGTCGACTGAGCAAAGGTTGTGATGCTTAGTGCAGTATCAAGGTCAATGGTAGATTTCATATATAATAGTTTATGTTGTACTGTTTATTTTAGAAGGTAAGAATCACTGAGGAGGTAAATAGTGCATGATGAAGTACTTGTAGTGTTAGAGGAGCTGAGAAAGTCAAAACACAGAGGAAATCCTGGAGGTAAATACTGAAGTTATAGTGAAAATGTTGTAGGGCCTAATGAAATGAAGAACCAATAGCTGCATAGAGTTCTCATACAAAACCATTATGTAACTATAGAATAGTTGTAAAGAAAAGAAAGACTTAAAAGTGAAAAGGTTTTTCCAATGTCAGAGTGGTGGTATCTGCAGGTGGCTAAAAGTTGCTCATGGAGATTTAATAAAGGGGGATGTCCACTGGATCAGAGGCACGACAAATACCTGATGACTTCAAGGGGTATATCTCATGTAATTCTGCAAGAAGATACTGGTATTTTCTAGCCCAAGATTTAGGATGCTATGAGAGCTTTCCTTCAAATCTTTGTCTAAAGTGTTAGATATTTTCTTGTTGGCTTTTATCACCTTTGCCAGAAGAGATGAAACTGCTCAGAAAAAGGTACAAAAACCACAATAGTCTGAGCTGAGTAGGACTGTTATTACCTGATCAGCAAGAGTACTTCACAATTAAGTCCTGCTTATGAAGACTGCTGCGCAGAGAGAGAATAATATGGCTGCTATTGCAGTCAATCATATGCAATCTTTTTCATAAAATGATTGCTCTCAAAATCAGTTAGACTTTTATCCTCCGTCCACATATTGCTGCTATTTGGTAGGCTAGCCTAACTGTATTCAGCACTACTTTATTATCAGCTCATTCCTGTGCCAACACTGTCCTCTTTAGCTCACTTTTCTCTTGCCTTTCCATTTTTCCCTCATACTTATGAAGCAGTCAAATCCCCCTCCACTTTTGATGGTTAAGCATGGTAAGCTCTATATTCTGTGCCTTTCAGCATCGTAGTGGCCATTCTTCACTTAGAGTTTGCATCTCCCTTGAGTGGGGTCACCACAGTTGTTCATTTCTGGAGAAGAATAGTCCAAGGGCGTTAGTAAAGAGTAGAGTTGTCACAGTATGTGAATCGCCTGAATGAACTCCTCCAAGGAACCCACAAGTCTTCAATGTGAAGTGGAGCTCAGAAACTCCATCTTCACTCCAGTATTTGAGGAATAGAAAAACCACCTCGTACATGTACACTGTTTATCAAGTGAAAACTCAATTACACGAAGCAAAACAGTGATAAATTTATTTGTAAAACACAAGTATGCAAGTTAAATTCAAATTGTAATTTCACAATTCAGACATTGTGATGGATCTGACTGTCAAAGTGTTGAAAAAGCATTTAAAACATTAAATCCTACTTTGTATTATTCAAAACAAAATTTTGCTTCATCTTACTGCAAGAAAATGTGCACTTTAGGATGTTCAGACTAGAAGTTGTATAGATGATGTGATAGAGAGCAAGAAGAACTTAGGAAAAAAATGCCTTTATGATTCCTAGCTTCCACTTCAATTAATGGTCTTTAAACATTGGTTTAAAACAGTAGAAGACACTACAAGACTCATGATGGTTTGGTAAAGGTATAATAGTTACTCTGTGTTTAGGTTTTGGGTTTAATGTGTGAAATTTATGTATTCAAGCTCTGCCAAAACTATCACCTATACAGAGTTTTTGCTTTCTTTATAACTGAGGTGTTATTATTTCACAAAAAACCAAGTTATTTTGTTACTACTAATCTGGTTTAGAATTGTTTTGACATAAGTAAAAAATATTAATTTCAATTTGTTTGGTGTCTAATTTTGACTGGAGATAGTAGAGTTTATGTTTAACAATATATTTGGGACCCCCTGCCCACGTTAGCACTCAAAAAGGCTTTTTTGGTAACAGATCTGTGATAGATCTCTTGTTAAGTGAACAATATTTCTCTTAAATATCACAACAGCCCAGCTTAATCTCAGTTCTTGGTATTAGGAACAACAAATCTAGCAGTGTAATTTCCTCAGCTGCTTTATTCTGAGTCATAATAACCCCTACAAAAGTAACCAGTTTAATGAATTCACCGGTCTTTCTCACATACCCCGTAAAAGATTAATCTCACTAAGCTTTAGAGAGGTAAAGTAGGTGCTTACAGTTCCAGTAAATCAGTGGCAGCACTGGGATTTGAGGAATCCCATCTCCCCATACCCTTTTCTAACTTCTTGACCCCTTAGAAACTTTATTGTGTGACACAGTAATTACACTGTTATATATTTTTATCCCATCTACACAGACATTGTGCGGGTAGTTGCTGATTTTTCACTCTATTTTTAATGTAAGAGGTTAATAATACTTGGGACATTTGGGACTTGCTTATTAAATAGCTGTTACTTCCAAGGTATAACTTGATTAACATTACATAATTTAGTCTCCAGTTGGTTTACCACTTTCCAGTAACCACATTAGGAATATCACTGCACAAGCATAGCCCTGTAGTGTTACAATGCAACATCTTGGCTTACCCACCATCAGTATTTGGGAATCTTGCCCAGCATTTTCAGACAACTCTCATGGTTTGCATTCATCTGGCCCCTGCTTGAAGGCGCTACAGCTGTATTACAAACAGTGGTGAATTAAACCTCACAAACTACAGCAGGGGCACTTTTGTAGCAAGCCTGATGGGAGTGTGTAAAAAGGTCTTGAATTTTTTAGTTACACTCCAAAATCCATAGGTATCCTTAGAAGCCTCACTGTAGGCATCAGTTTTTAAGTGACATATAACTATCTGTGAAAACTAAGGTGTTATACTGTGACTAGTTAGTGACTAGATCATCTGCTATAGCTTTCATAATGTCCCTGTACTCCACAGGGCATATGTGGCAGGCGCTAAACAGGCCTTTCCATTTTAAGTATGTAAGAACCTGAGTGTTCCTGCATCTGCTCAACACTCCATAAACCTCTTTTCTGGGGTTATTAATGTGTACAAGTCTTGCCACTGATATTGCTGCTGCTGAAATATATATGAAGTATATAACAAAAATACCAATAGTGTACCTACCCATTGACATAAATTCACTATCTTATTTTATGACTCACGCAGGAAGAAGAGGGACCACAGTAGGGTTAGAGCTCGCATTGCAAGCCGGCAAGCTTCCTAAGCCTTCTCCTACAACCTTGGTCTTTCACAAAGACAGACACGTGAGAATGAAAGGAAGAAACGAAAGAAAATAAACTCTCCTGGAAGCATAAATGCCTTTCCCCAGGAGAGGGCGAGCTTGGTCTCCCATTTCTATTCTCTCACCAGTTCCTCGGCAGGAAGGAGCAGTCTGGGCTGTCCTCAGAAGCTGGGAGCAATCGAGTGCCTGCAATAGCCCAAACAGAACCATTCACTTTAGCAGCAACACAGAAAGGGGGGTATTATTCACTGGTTAGCAAAAGGTCTCTCATCTGCTAACACATTTGCGGGTTGAGGCAGCTGAGCACATTTTAGGGGAAGCTGGCAGAGATGGTAGTAGCAGACGGTTCTCTGCAGTGTGCCCATCATTTTAATCACAAAGAAATAGGAACCCTTCCTTTTTTTTTGCCAGGTTAGATGCAAATTCCTCTGGGGACAGCTTTGGCAACCAAAAGGGAAAGACCAGCTTTTTATTTAAAGGTATGCCAACAACTTGGAATGTTTCCAAACTGGCCCATCTAAGACAACGCAAGTTTTGCAGATATCAGCAGTGAGCAGGGCACGGTAAATTCATCTCTGGAGAAGGAAGTAAGATGGGGGGAGAGAGAGTTCCTTCTCTGCCAAGCATGTTACAAACCAATTTTAAACAGTGCACTAATCACAATGGCATCCTATATATTTGATCTCTGTCCTCCATGTATATACAAATCCTCTTGTTGCTTTTTTGCTCACTTTTGCTGCTGATGATGAAAGCATCCCCTCTCCTCGCTGACCCTTCTGCACCCCCACCTCCCAGGAGTTACTATCTTGCCAGTGTGAGAGAATAAGTGCTAATGCACACCAGTGACACTGACACACCACAAAGTGCTGTCAAATATGCAAAGTAAACACACTGAACAGAGACAGTTAAATAGCACCCCGTTTGCATCCTTACTCTGTTCTAGTTACGCCTGTTATAAAAGGCTGGTTTGGAACAATAGTCAGTATGGCTTCGGCTCCCCCCCCACCCCCGACACTTCCCCCAAGAAAGACACAATTTTTCAAGTTGACAGCATCCCTTTATGCTGATGAGATAGTGAAAGTTGAGTGCCAACTAGCAGCAGAAATATAATAGCATCCATTAGAGCTGTTAGCTAGAGTCTGCCAGTGCTTCTGTTTGTAATTTAGAGGGTTGTAAC